CTCCGTTTTCTGACCATCAAAATTCTGTCAAAACTTCCCCCAAAATCCAGGAAATGGCATTTCAGAGAATCAAAATTTAAAAATTTCCTCGGGCCTTCCGCCCTCGTTCCCAGCCCCCAATAAAAAGAGCTTCCTACGGCACTGCATGTTTCTGTAATATGTCTTTGCGTAAACTATGCGTATTTTTGTTTGTAAATTGCATCTTCATTTTCCGGATAGCAAACCTTCGTGGCTTCGTATGCCATGAAATATTTGGAAATTTTCTTCGACCCCCCCGCCCCAACTATACATGCTAGCTACGGCCCTGCAAGGCGTACAGCTATTAAGTAAACAGGGCCTAAATTAATTTAGTAGTTTCATTGTTTGTCTTGCTTTTATTTGTCAGTACAGAATATTGTAAATTAAAATATTACTACAATGTCAATGCAATACGCGTAGTATTTCATCAGACATCTGCACAGAAATACTGTACAAGGAAAACTACAGCTTAAATAATAGTAGACGTTTCTTGTTTTGTCAGGAAACATCACAGCTCACGTCGACACGGATTTTGAGTTTTGTAACCGGCCGAGGCGAAAGTAAATCATGCAGTCGGGAAAACGTCTTACTTTGAAAGATTATTTTGCCAAACATACTCGTACACACAAGAATCATAAAAATACTACTAGTAATGTTGAATTGTTATTGTCAAATGTCAAGTTCAGTTATTTTTAGACAATATGGTGTTAGCCAATCAGAATGCAAAATTGAACGGCCCAGACCAGGGCTTCCTCGTGTCTCGCCTAGTCATCAAACTGAAGCCCTGGGAACGAGGTTGAAGGTCTCCTACACAAAATTTTTGGGTGTACGTACTAATTGATGAAAATTTAACGTGGAAAAATCACATTTATTCTATATGTTGACTAATTCCAAAATTGCGATATTTTACGAACTTGAACACTATAAAGTTCACATATTATGCTTTAATTTATCCATACTTTACATATAGTAATTTAGCTTGGGGTAGTACATACTCTTCGAAAATTGAAAAGCTTTTCAGAATTCGGAAAAAGATTATTGGATTAATGAAATTTAAATCATACACAGAACATAGAAAACCGCTATTTAATGATTTGAAAATATTAAATCTTTTCAAAATTAACGATTACCTTAGCAGCATGTTTATGTACCGTTGGAACTGTACTAATGATTTACCCGACATTTTTAATGGATACTTCATAAAAAATTCAAACATTCATGAAGATTGCTACCCTGGATTCCAGAGCCTCCGACAGTAAATAATAAATTGATATGTCGCGAAGGCTCTGGTTCAACGGGGCGATTCTTTCATTAAACCGCGCCAATCACAAAACAGAATTAGTGGTTTTAGTACAGATTCTGAACTAAAACCACTAATTCTGTTTTGTGATTGGGGCGGTTTAATCAAAGAATCGCCCCGTTGAACCAGAGCCTTCGCGACATCTCAATTTATTATTTACTGTCGAAGGCTCTGGAATCCGAACTAGAAGATTGCACGCGGAATTAAAAAAAATTGCGTAAAGTTTATACAAGAACAAACTATATCAAACTATAGAACACAATCTGTTTTAGTAAAGGTATTGACATTTGGAAAAATTTAAGTACTGAGTCAAAAAATATTGGATTTTATATGGTTTTCAAAAAAAATGTGAAAATATACTTTATATCACACCAATCAGCTAATTTAATGTATAAAGTTTAAAAAATCTCAGTGAAAAATTTTGTAAATACACTAACTTTCCTTTAAACACTCTCACAATTGTATATATTTTCATTATTACATTATGTACTATTTTTATGACATCATGAAATTATACTAAGTAAAAAAACGTTTTGTTATAACTAGGGGTCTTAAAATGAAAGCCCAAAAGGGTTTCTAAAATATCTCTAGCCCTACGTTTTGATTATAAAAATGTATATAGTTAAATCTATTGTACTTTGGAAAATTGGGCGAACTAAATTAATAACAATAATAACTTTGTTATTCTTCCCTTTTTTGCTTATATTTTACAGAGAAAGAACCTTCACTGGGGGAGGGGAACAACATAGTTCACTAGAGGAGCCAAACCAGTCTATGGTGTTGAAATAGGCCATGTGCGGTATTTGCCAAAGCACGGATTAATAGACTACTTTATAATTCTTGACTGGCAATAAATCACTTGAGAATTAGAAGACTGTGGCATGGCTGCTATGTTGGTGCCAAATGCAAAAGAAGTTAATGGCCGTCGCTCACATCATTGCAAGTCAAGAATAGGGACCAAATATTACCAATGGTGTACCGGGAAACTATGATCGGCTAAGACAAGATTCCTACCATACTTCTACGTGACCCTGCCTATCCTTTACAACCATACTGCATGAAGCAATTTTCCAGTGCACAATCGAATGAGGAAGTCATATTTAATAGCATGATTTGAACGGCGATAAATCCTAGGTGTTGAGTGTGCATTTGGTTGTCTAAAGCAAGATGGCAAATAACAAACAAAAGAATTGACATAGGAATGACAGTTGTGCCCTTGCAAACCTTAAACCTTAAACTCTGAGCGTGCAAAGCATAATGGGAGCTTCATTTAATCAGTTTATTATTAGCATGACAAAATTACTGCATGCTGATTGGTTGAGAGGAGAACAGTTATTTTATTAATTGTACTGCCGTACAATTAATGATTGTTAATTGTACTGCCGTACAATAGACCTTTCCCCTTATAACCAAAATTTTGATCTAGGCAAGTATAGACAAATATTTCATCACAGCTTGAATGAGCATCACAAAATTAGTAATATTCCAAAGTTTCGTTGAGAAATGTTGTAAAATGAGGAAAATAGAGTCTTGCGAAGTTTGCAATTTTCAGTCATTTTGCATTACAAACGGAAAATTGCAGCCCCAACACCCGATTCGGATGTCAATTTCCCGTTTGTAATACAAAATGACTGAAAAACGGCAAACTTCGCAAGGCTATATTATCCGCATTTTACAAGTTTTTGCAACAAAACTTTGGAATATTACTAATTTTGTGATACTCTTTCAAGCTGTGATGAAATTTTTGTCTAGATCGAAATTTTAGTTGTAAGGGGAAAGGTCCATTAATGATTTTCCCAAAACGTAGCCCGCGTGCAGGTCCAAGGGGAGAATATGCAAGCAAGACACGGTATTTTTTAAAAAGCCCATTTTATAACACGCCTCAAAAAGGAACCAATGACAGCAACCCAAATAGTAACAAACAAACTCGCATTAATGAAATGTTGCGGGATTTTCTCTGCTTTAATATTCAAAATAGAAACAATGTGTAAATGGCCGTGTTTTAGCTCCTAAAAAGCAAGCAACGCAGTCAGTAATTGCCAAACTTGCAAGTGTTCATTTTCAACTAAAATAGGAACAGGCAAATTAGGACGAATTTCAACAGAAAACCAGTCTCAAAATTAAAACCGTGAGGGAAGTCGTGCGACCACGTTAGCATTTGTAATGTGAGCTTTGCTGCCGCCATTGTTATAAATAAATTATCTCATTTATCAGATTGTGTGTGCAATTCTTGTTGGCGGCGGAAAATACGAAATTTATTCCAGTTATTTCATTTGGTAAAAAACTCTACAAAAGAAGAGAGCGTTCAGAGTCTAGATCGTTTCGTTTCAAACGGCAATTACCGTCTTCCCTTTCGCTCTCTCAGCGAAGCCTTGCAAATCGCAAAGTGTTTCGAATAGGCTTACATGCAACTGCCTCTAAATCTTCAACCGAAATCATCTAAACTGACCATGCACAGCCAATTATGAAGCAAATGTTTGTATTGGGTGCCAAATATCAACCGTTTAGTAAAGACGTTCTGGTGGGGGGGGGTGGCGAGACTCATATATCAGGATTCTGTGCAAGCGGTATTATAGTTCAAGCTATGAACAAGCTTTTGTTGATGAGGATGCAACTAACTGAAAAATACAACCAAATATATTGGCTGTATTTGTTTCAGTTTTCCGTATATTTGTATCAATTTAATATATTCTGTAATTCTCTAAAAAATTTTTGTTAATACAATTAAATTGTTTTGACAAAATCCATCCGATTGGTTTATTTTTATCACGTGATCGCTTTTATATTCTTAGTATAAAAGCTCATGTAATTTTTCCCACCCCCACTAGTAATTCCAAACGAAGGGCTTTCGCTCGAAGCGTCAAAATTCTCCTTATGTTTTTCAAGTAGTTGCATCCCTACCAACGAAAGCTTGTTCGTATTATTGGCAGTATCTACACTGACACAGACAGTTCAAGATATTGCAAGCTTCCCACTTTCGCGTGCCCACTAATAACTCTTGCTACGCAGCCGGCTAGAAATTCGAGAACTTTTCCAGGACTTTCAAGGCTTTTTTCCAGTCAATTGAAGAATCTATATAATTCCTTTTTTGAAACACTACTATTTATTCAAAATCAATCCTTGAAATACAGTTCCAGGTTATCCGCACAGCTGGAAAAAGTTCTAGGACTCAAAGGACTTTTACTAATTTTCAAGGACTTTCCAAACCTGGATTTTCTTTTTTGCAAATTCAAATAATTTACAGGATTTTCAAAGCTCGTGGACACCGTACAAAATGTGAAGGAAATGGCATTTCCAAGCCTCAATTTATTTCCGGGAAGGATACCCCGCAATCACCCAGTTCTCAGCCCTCCGGAGATTAAATACCTTCCTACGCTACTGGCCTACTACTGTGACAGTTGTATCTTCTTTAACAATTGGATGTCTTCTGTGCCGTGTTTGTACTTAGCTGAAAAGTTCCGTGCGCAATTTGGCGGATAGATAGTTCACCCCCCCCCCCAAAAAAAAAAATACAAAACCTGTTCCGCCGCAGTACTGTAATACGCAATAAACACACTTTTTGTATATCGCGCTAAATTGAAATTCTTTAAACAGGTTGATAATCGTTCAGTGTAGAAACACTGTTACAAATGGAAGCCCGAAAATGGTGTCCGCAATAATTACTGTAATACCGCCAAGTTTGTCACTGATCGTACTTACTCGAGGTTGGTTTGTCAATGAGTTTGTAGGTCAATAGGAATCCGTTTCCAGAGCCACTCCCGTCAGTTGTAAAATGAAATGAGACATCACTATCGTTGTAGGTATCCTGGCAGCCGGCAGATGACGAATGACCACATATTGTGCGGCTATGACCACTGCTGTCCGCAATCGTCAACTTGTCTTTCGAGCACTGGGTGACTTCATCTATGAACAGAAAATTTTAAAAAAATTACCGTTAGTTTGAGTAAAAACGACAGCAACCAACATGGAAGCAGCATCACCAAAAATAACCAAACCAACAAAAACGGCATCAACAATTGTAACAGCTTGCAATTGAACGACAAAATGCCCAAGGAAGTAGCAGTTGCAAAAACATGAACAACAACATCCACTACAACAGCATCACAACAGTAGCCATAGGTACAACAACCGCAACAGCAACATCAGAAACAACAACACTATCCTCAACAATATCAACAGCAGCAACAAGAACGAGAACGAGAACAAGAACAAGAACAAGAAAAAGAACAAGAACAAGATAACGGTGTTACTAACTACTTGATGAATATCCGCCATTGCCTGCTGTAACTTCATGATAAAAAAAGTTCACAAAATTTGTTTAAAACTTTGATAATAATAATGGAAACTTTATTAAATGTTTTTCTTTACATACATATACAATCGTAAATCTCTCTCATAAAGGTAACTTACGGTTGGCTATTTGAATCACAATTATACTAAACTAAAATAACAGAACAAAGTGCATGCAATATATATATATTTACAATGAGATAAGTCAAATTGTTAGTAAATCCGGATTTTCCCATTCCTTATTTCGGCAACAAAAATGTAATATGTAGTTCTAATAGCAATAGCCATCATTTTCCTAACGCAGTACATTTGGTGGTTTTTGTCAAGACCAATACTATCTAACATGTCTAAAAATGTATAACATTCTTCTGCAAAAATACCTAAAGAGCTGATGGAGAGATTTATAAATTTAACTTGGTTAAAATTTTTACCTAGCTGTCTCAATAATTCTCTATATTTATCCTTCTTCCGTTTTACGTTGCTTTTAAGGTTTGTCTCATAACCAGTGGTGAGTTCAACCACATATGAGGAACCATTTGAGCACGATAATAACAAATCTGGGCGATACGTATCACCAGTAAGTATTGAAGGGCTTTTGAATCCATTTAGATCAGCGTAGAGAGTAGAACCGTCAACAGTTTGTAACTGATGAGCAAGAAAGTTCAGGACTGAATTGTGTCTCCACGTAAATCGGTCGAGATAAAACTGACATCCAGCTACTGTGTGTAGTAATGTTTCAGGGCTAAGACAAAAAGAAAAGTCTGAATTTGAAGATATTGTCCATCTGTTTAGGTTTTTGCGCGTCGGAAGAGAGTTGTTAATGTAACGAATGGTAAAGTTGTAAATGTTTTTCGGGAGCTTTGATTGGGCGACGGACCACACCTTGCTAAGCTGAGGTAAGGCGAACTTCGTGACGCTGCAGAAAAAGGATCCTTGACTGGTTAATTGGTTTAGGAGTTTGTTTTCGTGTCCAAAACGGAAATCTTTGAGAACTTCCTTAGTAGAGTTATAAGCGTCATATTGGATATTAGTATGGTTACTGGTTGCTCTCCACAGGTCGTTAGTTGATTCATTAGGAGAAGATTTTAAAGCTTTTCGGAGGACTGTTTGACACTGGATAAATTTTACAGATGGAGGATAAATACTCAGGCCAAATTTGTTATTTGCTAGAAAGACAGTACTTAGTGTTCCTGATATTGGTACTTCAAGCCATCTGCGGATATATTTGTTGGCAATAGAGTCGATATTTTCAGTAACCCATGTTTTAGAGAGTGTTGCGACGGTGAAGTGCCAGGCTAACTTGGACAAGACGTAGCGACTGTAGAGGAGCAGTTTATTTTTGGGGTGTAGTGGCTTTGAGTCAATATCAGACATTAGTTCATTAAGTAGGGTGGTTAGTTCAGTTTTGTGATTATCATTCGACATGTGGAAATCAAAGTAACGTCCTAAATATTGAAATGATTCTCCAATGGTGATTTTTGGTATTAGTTGATTGCTGATGAGGAGTTTTGGCAAGTACTGAACTGATTTTGTGATCGCTTTTTTAATGCCAAAGGTACTGCATTTGTCAACTCGGATAATCATATCGGACCATTGGCACCAGATAGAAAATCGATTTAATAGATGTTGGTTTTCGGATTCTTGGTCAATCTCGTACCCAGAGCCATCGTTGAGTGGCTCTGGCCACACGAGTTGAGTTAATTAGAAAATACGGTAAAAGTACAGTATTTTCCAATTAACTATTTCGTACCCATTCTCCGGGAATTCGCGCGCGTCATAGTATTTTCAAGAGGAGTGGAGAGCTAACTTTTTGCTGAAAATATCAATAAAATCGCAATTTTTCCCGTCAAAAGCATTAGAATATGTTCGGCGCAGTTTGTGTTAACAACAAGGATACTGAGTGCACGTGTGATTTCCGTTTTACAAGTAATTTGAGATGATTGAAACACCGGCTTGTACACATGTCAACACTCGTCGAGTCATCGATCAAATATTTTGTCTCAAATGGCTTCTATTTCCTTCAAAATGTTCCGATTTCTTCTTAAGGTATAAGTACGTTTAATTATTTGTTATATAAATGTAATTTAATAACTCTCAGCTTTATTAAATAGGTTATTGTTGAGCAAGAACGTTGCTTGTTGCACACTGCCTTGGTTACCTTTAATTCTTTAATTTGTTACAATTTATATTGTTCATGGCATCATTATTTTGTTTCAAGGTTAATTTTTGAATCTTGGGCTCTGAATTTCCATCCTAATATACCACAAAAGATATTGTGTACCCCCTAAGAATGCAGCAGATTTTCAGAAATTCTATAGCATATCCTGTGAGCTGATCATACCCAGTATTTATTACTATTATACATGCATTATTATGAATGTATCATACCTAGGGAATTCAAAACCAAATATTGTTCTTCATACAATGAGAAAATAAAGATATTTTTCTCAATAAAGAAGGCCTGTACTGCTGTAGCAATTGAGCAAAAGCCTGTAGCAGTATACCAGTGTGTGTTTAATGGTTGAATATTTTATAACTTTAGTATTACATTTCTTTCAGATACACCTGGGACTGTACATATGATAATCTTTTTATTATGCCATTACCAGTACATCCAACAGCTTGGCATGTTGCATTATAATGAATAGTCTAATATAACGAAATACTTAAGAAAGGAATAGTATTGTTGGAGAAGTGGCATTGCTCATTAGTTATGTGATAAAAAGTAGTTAGGTTAAAGAATCAAGAATCACACCTGGCCTGACTAATAACAATGTCCTGCTTGAATAAGTGTAATATCATTTATACTTTCATGCTTGTATTGCTTGATATAGGTTGATAAGTAGAATGACACATTATTGAAATCAATAAAGGTTTTTCAGAACTTGCAATTTATTTTATGGTACCACTGGGAGGTTGTGCAGGGCCCAGAGTAAAACTTTTCCAGGGGAACCATATGACATCATTAAGTTTTGCCAGGGGTCCCTATGACATCATAATTATTAAGTGGGAGAAGAGGTGTTTTACAATATATTACACTTTACTGCATATTATCTGGCACTGACACAACTCTTTGTGCTTTGGATGCCCCTTTTGAAATGGGCTTTTGCCTGCATCCCTACTTTTGGAATTGGAAATTGGAAAGCCCTGGATGCTTTGGATGCCCCTTTTGAACTGGGCTTTTGCCTGCATCCCTACTTTTGGAATTGTTAAAGATGTATGAAGTTATATGATAGTTTACTAATAAACCTAAAATTTGGTTTTGGTAGTCATATTCTGAAAAAGTAAAGTTGTTTTTGTTGAGCATTGGACTTCAAATACAATTGTTAATTGTTGGACACTCAGTCCATAGTACTACCTGAAAAAAACAAGCAGAAATTCGATGTTTCGAGCGAAGGCCCTTCACCAAGAGTTAGTAGCCAATGTCGAGTTTCTGCTTGTTTTTTTTTTCAGGTAGTATTACTATATAACCACACAGCACAGCAAGACTGTGGAATAGTTGACAATCATTTATTTACCAGTTTTAGTGGAACCATTGTATAAATTGTGTAGACGGTTTCATATTATTACACACTGTATGTAGTACATACTGCTATTGTTAAAGACCATGTAAAGTCTGTTCTGTGCATGCATTCTGCAGGCCTACATTCCAATGCTCAGGTCCATTGGAATGTAGGCCTGCAGAATGTTATTAATATTTTGCACCTTCCAAACTTTCTTGAATTGAATCTCTGGTCTGTATTCATTTACAAGCATAGCAAACCAGAAGAGTTAAAAATTCAGTATAATATTTATATCTAATATTCTACAACAAAAGCACTGGGTTCAGAATGTAAATAAAGGGTTTGTTTACATTACATACTTTACATGGCCTGGCTTTAATGAAACCTTTTTTGGCTACTAACACCAATGTTTCTGACAGAGTTGCGCAGACAATACTGTAAACAGAAACAATATATCATCAAACAATTCTGTCAAACAAGTTGCAAATTAAAGAACAAATGCTGTTTCAGCTGTTTAATTGTTACATTCACACCATGATGATTCATACATTTACAGTTCAATTAAAAAATCCCAAATCTTGTATAAACACAGTCCTAGCATACGTGTACGCTTGTAAGTCTTGTACGCTTGAATTTATTTTCAATAATAACAATCCAATATAGTGGATCAAGGACATATGCCATCATTCCCATCAATATTCACTCAGAGTGAACCAAGAGTATGAATTATTACCATAACGAAGGCTGTTATTTTTCCCAAATGAGTTCAAGTATGCATAAATCAACTCCTTAATCCCTCCACCACTTTTTCGGACGAAAAGCAACAAAAAATTCGTCGAAATAAGCAAATTTTCAGGCAAAATATTAGCAAATATATCGTATTCACTCATATTAGCCGCGCATGTGAACGCCACAGGGGGTATGGGTCCAATAGCTTATGGATCGACCAATCAGGATCGTTTTTCAATCCCGTGTGGCCAGAGCCACTCAACGATGGCTCTGGGTACGAGATTGATTC